ATTGTCACTGTGCGATAACAGAGGATGTTCTTCTCTTCCCCTTCCATGTCAAAGAAGATATCTATCAGCTGGAGCATTACCTCAATCCAATTTGAGATGTTGTACAATCTCTTCAATCGTAGCATAAATCTCTTCACAAGGCTTAACTCAACAATGCATTCAAAGTAAAATCATTGCCCACTGCATTTTCTTTCTTCATTATGATGCAAGTACAATACATGACAATCTACAAGCTTCACAATCTGTGTGAGAACATATCGGATTCTAGTTCCAAGCTGTTGCGTTGCCGAATAAAAGCTCCATATTGAGCGAACCTGTCAACCTGAGCTGTGTAAAGCACAGCAAGACAGTCAAATGTCAATATAATATATGTTACTATCAATTAGGACATGAATGCATATGTCCTGTTCTAATCTAGAGATGGATATACGTACTTGCCCTGGTCTAAAGGCTCCCCACTAAGTATCAAATGCAAGCATTCTTGCAAGCATCAAAACACCCATCAGGCTGTATTCTGTCAAACTGCATTTTCAAAATAGAATGAATAGAAAGATTCCGGGAAACCTCAATGTTAAGGAATACAGACATCATGATGGTCCATGACAAGGCATATCTTCTTCACATCCAACTAATAGGTGGTGGGGGTCCATGACAAGGCATATCTTCTTCACATCCAACTAAGAAACTCTTCCCTTGGTTGCTCATATGATGGCCACTGGAGGCTTACATGGTCGTTAACTTCAGGGCCCGTAGGATTAGTCGTGGTGCGTGCAAGCTGGCCCGGACACCCACGTTAATCTAAAAAAAAAAAAGAAACTCGTTTGCTGATTTCACATCACCCCATTTGCACATACAAAATTAATTTCTTTACCACTTTGAAATATTATACCAAATTGCTTTAAATAACCTAAGATGATTTCCAGGTTCCAAATTCCTATTTCGTACAGGCCAAATTAAGCCTGCAAATAATCCATTTTCTTATCAATTCTTGGAGTACGTGGCCATGGATAATTTCAAGATAATAATCCATTTTCTTATCAATCAAAGTGTCATTTACTTGCCAACAAATCAAGCACATCATGCAAGCACCAAATACATATACATAGATGTAAGGTTTTATAAGATTATAAAAGTGGTTTCGTCTTATGAACTATTATTTAAGAAAGCTTACACTTTTAGAAATATCATAAACATGTTGACAAAACTTATTACTATAAATAAGTTTAAATATTACTTGAACTTGTTTAATATTTTCAGGGGTAAAAGAGAGACATCTCAATCTCTTGTTTCAAATCGAGTTTTAAGTTATATTTTCCTTATTTTTCTCTAAAGAGATTGATATTAATCAATATTGAAATTGTTATAGCCCGTGGCTCATAGAAAAATATAGGTGTGGAGTAGAACAAGATTTATTATAAATACACATTACATTATGTAGCTCTAATTTGATATATAGTGAATTATAACCCCTATTGCTTGAGAAAGTTTGAGAATATAATACACATGTTGACAAAGCTGTTAAAGAACTATCTCAACCCAAAAACTTAAATTTTTAGGTAAAGTCGCAACATATGATTTATATTATTCTCTAACACACCCCCTCAAGTGAAAGCTCTTTGGACTTAAAACTTGTACAAATTTATTTTATTTTATGTTTAATTTTTAATAAATAAATAGAGATGGTGAGATTTGAACTCGTGGCTGCTTGGTAATTAAGACTTTGATACCATGTCAAAAAATCATCTCAACCACATTATGTAGCTCTAATTTGATATATAGTGTATTATAACCCTTATTGCTTGAAAAAGTTTGAGAATATAATAGACATGTTGACAAAGTTGTTAAAGAACTATCTCAACCCAAAAATTTAAATTTTTAGGTAAAGTCACAACATATAATTTATATTATTCTCTAACACACCCCCTCAAGTGAAAGCTCTTTGGACTTAAAACTTGTACAAGTCTATTTTATCTTGTGTTTAATTTTTAATAAATAAATAGAAATGATGAGATTTGAACTCGTGGCTGCTTGGTCATTAAGACTTTGATATCATGTCAAAGAACCATCTCAACCAAAAAACTTAAACTTTTAGGTAAAGTCTCAATATATAATTTATATTATTCTCTAATAAAAACTTGTTATCATAAATAAGTTTAAATATTGCTTGAACTTGATTAATATTTTCACGTGCTAGATAAAAAACATCTCAATTTATTGTCTCAGCAAATTATATATTTTTTTTTTTCTATAAAGGGATTGATATTAATTAATATTGAAATTGTTATAGTATATGGCTGGATGCGAAGTAGAGCGAGATTTTTTACAAATACATATTTTGTTGCTCTAATTTAATATATAGTGAATTATAGCTCTTCACTCGTGTGAATATAAATATATTATCAAACCATGTTAGATTTGCGTGGTCTTTTTTATTTTTTTTTCTTTTGTAATACTCATCGTTATTGTTACAGGTTTCGCAACCTAAACCCTAACATGATATCCATCTATCACATTGAGAGAATCCTTTTAAGAGGAAAAATAAAGAAGGGTCCCTGTTATATTTTTTTCCTGATTTTCTTTTTCCATCTTTAGGGCGGCCAATGCCCACTTGCCACCCCTATGTGATCCGTTCATGTCTCTGATGCCTAACACCTAGAGCGATCAGAGGCACCTTCAAGTAAATTTGCTATTAATCAACGAAACCCTTTTATCCAAATGATTCTATAAAATGTTGAGAATTTACAATTATTATTAAAACCATATTGATAGAAAGATCAGCTTGTTATTCAAATGTCCTTAAATTGGGAGTACACGGCATGTTGCTGTATGATTGGCCGTTTGGAACCATGGATAATTTCGAGATAATAGTATCTATATTGTATTGTATTATATTATATTATATCAAGGAACTGCTGATTAACGTGTAAACCAGCGATAACCTGAAGATTAATTCAACACAATGATGAAACCAAAGACGTTGACTTGGTCACTTAGTTGGAATCATCGAGCCCCATGATGAAGAAAGAAAACAGATTCACTTACAAACCAGCATAAAAGCTATGGACAAGGCGTTAGAATTGTGGAGAGAGCCGGCTAGCAGGGAGACATGTTGCCATTTTTGAACCATAGGATTCCTGAGGGTAATCATAACCTTGCAGGAGTGACTCACTAGCTAACCCTCGTGCGAATCAGGATCAACTCAAGTAACGTCATTGGCCCATTTAGCCAACTGGGTGGAACCATTTTGTAATTATTGCAAATGACAGGTGTGATTCTAAACTCGTCTCCTGGCAAAAATCCAATCACAAGTTGACAACTTCTCCCCTTCCACAGTAGCAGCAATGGAGGTTTTGGGAATCTAGAGTCACCCCTTCGGATGACGATGACCATAGCCCCAATCCAAGGGTCACCCGTTAGTCATCGAGGACAAAAACTTCTGTTTCCAGAATAACCCACCATGGCAATAAGAAAATTATTAGGTGATGTTACGAATGGTACAAGTTGGTGAGGATGAGAGGGATAAAAACAGTAGAAAAGACAAAGTACGAAGGTATGGAACCCGCTAATCATTCTATTTCCAGGTGCTAAATTCCAACGGTAATTTAATTAAAAAACTAACAATCCCGCCGGATTCTTAAAATGGAGGATCCAACGTTCCAAATCGCTTCTTAATTTACAAGCTGACAAATTAGACCGCCTTTCTCTGTCAGCTTCCCTCTGTATCTTTCACTACATCATCAAGCCATTTAGTTGGCTCGGCTTCTTGATTAAGCCCTTTCTTTTTTTTAGAGTCTAAGTTTTAAAAGTATTTTTTTGAAAAACAATATTTTTTTATTTTAAATTAAAAAAATTTATATTTTAAAATAGTTTTAATATGCTGATATTAAAAATAAATTTAAAAAATAAAAAAGTACTTTGATATATTTTTAAATAAAAAATATTTTAAAAATTAATCACTATTACAATACTAAATGAATTCTCCTAAAACCTCCAAGCTTCAAGTTAAAATATAATATAAATGAATCAATATGTTTAATACTAGATAATCATTGTGTAAAAGATAACGTAATTTTTTTCAGTTATAGGTAAGGGATATTTTATATTCTTTAATTAACTCATTTTAAATCTAGGGTTACTAAGACATATTTTGTTTTTGTGTTTGTAACAGTGTTTGAGTTCATTTCAATTATGTATTTGACTTGAAATTAATGCTTTTGTTTAGTTTTTTGGGATAGTTTTAATGTTAAAAATTAGAAAAAAATCTAAAAAATATTATTTTAATATATTTTTTAGTTGAAAAATACCTTTTACCCTAATTAATTTCAAAATATTTTAAAAGGTAGTGAGGAAAGAATCACTCAATCCAAGGTCTTAAGTAGGAAAGGGGATGTGGTAATTAGTTTTATGAACTGTAAAATCTCAGTTAAACTAGTGTTATTAACTCTATCATAAAGTACAAATTAAGCAGGGTAATATCAGGGAGTCCATGACCTTACTCAACTATAATTTTTATTTTACTCAACTGTATAGCCAATCAGGTGATCAAAATCTTGTTAGCATAAGACAATTGTGATATTTTCTCAAGGGTTTAATTATAAATCCACCAAATGTGGACAACCAGTTCTGACCCCATGAGAACGACTCCTATACATGATAAAATATTGTGGCATTTGAGTGATAACTACTGATTAATTCCTTAATTAGAGTGAAAATTACCCCATGATTAATTGTATAGGAAAAAAGGTTTATTGGTGGGTTAGTCACCAGCTAAGTCATAATTAGCTTAAGCCACTGCTAGAAGCAATGTCAAAACCGCAGAGTAGTGGTTAAGGCCAAAAAATAATGGGAAAAAAACAAACAAATAATTGAGATGGGTATATGCCTACACTCAGAATTTAATGGAGGCAGAACAACCTCCATATATATAGAGCTAAGAGGTGCCTGATACCCTATATACATTTTCCCATGCAACATATGCAATTCTTTCCTGATTACTAATCTTAAGAAAAGGCCTGATCACAGCTCAAATAAGTTTAATCTGTATGAACTTATTATAATTTGCTGTTAATGGCAGAGCCTGAAACACTGAGAAACTCACCTACTGTCACCACTACCAAGGTGCAAGCAACCAAAGGTCCCACGGTTAGAAGATTTGTTGGAGTCAGGCAAAGGCCATCAGGAAGATGGGTCGCTGAGATAAAGGATTCATCTCAACGAGTAAGGTTATGGTTAGGAACATATGATACGCCTGAGGAGGCAGCTAGAGCCTATGATGAAGCTGCTCGGGCCCTCCGTGGAGAAAATGCAAGAACCAACTTTGCATCGGTTAATCCAAACTTGAACCAATACGGATCATCCCCTAGTTCAAACGGTGGGCTCAAAATGTCAGAGTCAGATGGGAGGCACGGTCTTAGCTTCTCTTCATTAAAGGCTAAATTGAGCAAGAATCTACAAAGTATCATGGCTAGGACAACAGAGAATAAGGCGACCAAAAATAGAGTGAGTGACCACTTTACTTTTGCTAATATATTCCACTTTAGGAGCCATCAATACCAAAACCCAGTGGATATGAAGAGCATCGAGAAAGTTGTGCAGCCAAGCATCATTGTGCCCCATGTATCAGATCATAAGCCTTCTTATTCCTGGGAAACTTCTTGTGTTTCAGATTGTAGCAATGAATGGATTGGGTTCAGGCAGTATGGGTTTGATTCAGATGGATCTGATATTGGAGAAGTACTCAGCACTGTTAATGCTGATCAAATGATAGGTTGGGTTGAGAGCCCGGATATCAATACTTGTTGTGGAGATCCTTGTTCAAGGAGTAAGAGGTTAAAGGTTTCGTCTTCTGTTGTGGTTCCTCCTACCTTTAGTGGGTCTCCATCCTTTTGTGCTTCTCCTTCCTTTAGTGGGTCCCCATCCTTCTGTGCTTCTCCATCCTTTAGTGGGTCTCCTTCGTTTTGTGGCTCTCCATTTCATGGTGAGAATTAATGGCATATATATGGCACAACGGAAGTGAATGATAATGTCTCCCGTGGAATGCGATGAAGCTTCTTCTTCAAAGAGGTTGAGAAGCTAATCACAAACAGTTGGTGTTTTCAATGATGATGATGACGACGATAAGTTATTAGTCAGCATGTACAGTGAAAGATAGAGATCAAACTTTGTAATAATAATGCCATGAAGGCTAAGCCATAAGAGTCCTTTAGTGTAATGACAGTGCCAAGTTTGGTTGCCTCTATCTGGCTTTTGTTTAGATGGAAATTAAATTCAGTAAACACATCTCCTTCTCTGTCATTTTTGTGGTACGAAGTGTAGAATATTGCAGGCCTATGTTTTTTGTACAAACACCGTTGAAAATGCTCGTAGTTTTTGACAGTTTGCTGCAAGGGCACTTAAATACAGAAGTTGAATACTGTCAAGCGGTAACATATGTAGGTCTGATCAAGTATGTAGCCTAGCATGGGTTCGGATGTGATGTGATGAATGATGAAAGAATATGGAAACAACTACCATCACCAGCTAGCTGTTTATTGTAATTAAGCTCATGTTAATTTCTTGGCCAATATCCCTTCATGTTAACATGACTGGCGTCATCAATTCAACATGCAAGCTCTCCACAACCAGAAAATAAAATTTAGTTTTAGCACATAATACTCTTGATTTTATTATGAAGTGATATGATTTTGCTATGTTTAGCAGATGCAAAATGCAAGCTTTGTCCCAGAAATGAAGAAGAAATCTTAAGCCTGCAACTATTAGAAGGCACTAACTGATCTGTAAGGAAAATCCCTGTTGTCCTTCTCTATACACAAGCATATACAGTGCTTTCTGCAGCTCAAAAAAGCCCATTAATTTTAACTCTGTTGATGGGGGAAAAGGGTCGTTCTTAACTAATGATAAAGCATGGGATTTAGGAATTTTACATATGTGAATAATCAACTGTGTAAGAATTAAGCAACATCATCTTAATTTAACATTTGGGCTATCCGAAACCAATATAATAATGACAAAGCTTGTTTCCACTCGAACATTTCACATCATGAGCACCATCCTCATTCTTTGTTTTCCTTCTTGACGCATGGTCACTTACCAACTAATAGCAGACTTCATTGGATATCCTACCCTGATCAAAAGATGAAACAATTTTGAGGCATAAGAAGAAAAACAAACAACAGAAAGTACAACACATGATGTCTCTGTCTGCTAGCAAGTGGGTGTTCCACGCTTGATCCCTTGCTATGATAGATTTCCAGCAGTTCATCGTGCCATCAATCAAAATCATGTTTCATTATTTTTCCTATCAATCAAAGCAGCCTGTTACTTTCTACAGACTAAAATACTAATAGAATGATCAATGATTAAGTAGATTTCTAATGGACTTTTGTGCTTTGTAATTATCTTGATAAATGTTCTGTTGCATGATCACCTGTGGTCACTACAAGGCCAAAAAGGCACTTTTTGTAGTGTATGATCAAGTACAGAAAGCCACTCATCTTGAGATTCCGAGTAGAAACCTTGCCCGTAAAAAAATAGTTGAGATCCAAATTAATTTTGATTATAAATTTTTTTAACAAAAACCTAAAAAGAATAATAAACGTTGCTAATCAACAAATTATTTTTTCTAAGCGTGACCATAAAACTATCACGTAAGAAAATTTCAATGCTAAAAAACAAATTATAGATTTCAAAGTGGTTAATTCTGGGCCCAATTATCCGCATAATGGTCAGTTTCACCTTTCGGGCTTGGACCCCAGTTGAAACTAGTTTGCTTAGAACCCACAAGACATGTCCTCTGTCCAATTAAGAGAAAGCTATAAAAAGAGAGAAGATGACGCCATGTTTCAACATAAACGTTGTCGTATCCTTACTATTTAGTGGCCTTAACTAACTATCCGGGGTCGGCCTTGCCTTCAATTTCTGGTTTGCAGTTCGTGCAGTTACGCCTGCCAAGGTTTTCTCTTCTGTGATTCTGCCTCCCTCGCAAAGACAACAAGGCACTCTCTTGCTACCTTTCTTACTCTAATTCGAGAATTGCCTGATTCTGTATTACTATTTGTTAATATCTTCTTTTTTGGCTTTGGATGGTAAGGTTTGCTGGAGTTGACGAGGAGAATGCAGGCCATATTTTGCGGGAATCTTGATTATGACGCGCGGCAGTCTGATTTGGAGCGTCTTTTTAGAAGATATGGGAGGATTGATATAGTGGATATGAAGTCTGGTTAGTCAATATTTTCTTCTTTTGGTTTTTTTTTTTAATATAATGTTTCTGTCTCGGAATTGATATAAAATTAAAGTTAGTGGTGCATTTTACAAGCTGTTTTTGAGGTGTTATTTACTTGCGTTAATGATCCTCTCGACTGGCCGCTTGACCCATTGAACCTTGTGAATTCAGAAACTGGGGTATATGAGAATCTGTTTGGAAGCTGTTGATTGGAATGCATTTACTTGTGTTTCCCACTTTGAGCATTGCAAAGTTGCCAGAAACAACATTAGGCGTCATGATCCTTTTGACTGGCTACATGAGGCATTGAACAACTTGGATTCCATGTTATTGCTAGCTAGATAGATGCCTATCTTGGCCTAATGGAAAGATCTCTGGAGTATACGGATTCTGAGATTCTTTTGAAGAAAATAAGTTGGAAGATGGAGTTGGGGCAAGTTGGTTTTTTCTTTGTAGATCTACCTATGTCATAATCTGTATTTACCATGAGCACTCTAAGCAGTATTCACCATGTGTAATGGCACACTAGCTAGTCGACCACTTTTGCTGCATTTAGATGTGCTGTGACAATTGTGATATGACTAATGTTCCATCACTTGGACATCCAGTTGGGAATTTAGCTGATTTTATTTTCCTTGTGTAAATAGTGCATTAGTCCAAAAGATGTGTGGTATGACTTTGAATTCTAGATTTTTATAGCTAGTTGGCACTTTGACACCAAGAAACTTTCCTCTTGGCTGAAAGTTAAATGCACATGAAAATGAGATTATTTTACCTTGTTTAAAAAAAAATTTCATGCCATTATTAGTTCTATAGCTGTTAGGGAAAGCTGTCAGCTGATATTTTAAGGGTCAATTTGTTTGTTGGAAATAATTATTTTGAGATGTACATGTATTATTTTCAATGGAGAAATCAACACATTTTTCTTTGGTGTGTGCACCTGTATACTCAAAGATTTCTTTGATGCAGGATTACTTGGAATGTCTATGCTCTTCTTGGTTGGGTATGCTCCTCTGCATTTCTTTTTGTGGCATAATTCAAGCATCATCTTCTTCATGTCTTTTTTCCACAAGAACCAACCTGATCCACCATGGAACTGTCATCCTTCATTCCCTGAGACACCACTGCCTTAATTTCCTCATGAGTTTTGGTCAATGTTCTAATTTTGGAATCTTTCGGCATAGAAATCATGATCCCCCCCCCAGCCAGTGGCAGGTGTCGTATTACCGCCCAACAGGTCTTCTTTTGTATCTATTTTTTTCTTAAAAACAAAAAACTAAATTAGATGAGATTTCCTCATGATGTATAATGTCTCTATTAAAGGATGCATGACTCAGGATGATGCTTCTTCTGGGTTGTTACTGTTTTTTTCCTGGTTCGTTAGCATTCTGGTTTTGTAGGATTTGCTTTTGTCTATATGGAGGATGGAAGAGATGCTGAGGATGCTATCCGTAGGCTTGACCGAGCTGAATTTGGGAGAAAAGGGCGCCGTCTTCGTGTTGAGTGGACTAAGGTAGGTTTGGTAGTTACTTGAGGTGTGTAAGCCATGGAGTCTAATTGTTTCTTAATAACTGGCATTCCATATCTTTAGTGTATGTTGGCTTCATTCATCTATGTGTTCATACAGACACTCTATATGTATGGGTATTAAACATGACCTTTATATGCAAGTTTGTGAGCCCATGGTGTTAAAAATCTCAATTTCTGGCTTTCACATGAGAAGACCAGGTCTAACTTGATATTTAATATATTTATGAAAATTTTAGCTAATCCTCTTACCCCCTTTCTCCCATCCTCCCTCCATGAGTGTCCAACTCTTGCAATTGCTTCTGTTTGTTTTTCTTTCCTTTCTCAAGGATTAGTTTCCATGTTTGACCCGGAAAATGTGTTGACTTCATATATACATGGTTGTCCTTTTTTATAATTAATCAATCACCCAAAATTATGTGTTGCAGCAAGAACGTGTAAGTAGAAGGCCTGCTGGTTCAAGAAGATCATCAACTAACACGACTCCATCAAAAACTTTGTTTGTCATTAATTTTGATCCAATTCATACCCGAACTAGGGATCTGGAGAGGCACTTTGATCCTCGCGGAAAAATATCGAGCACAAGGATTAGGAGAAATTTTGCATTCATTCAGTGTGAAATGCTACTAAGGCATTGGAGGCAACTGACATGAGGTTGTTTTTTCTTATAAATACTCTAGCTGATTACAGTTTCTTTTAGTAACTCTGTTCAAACATTGTCTTACTTATTGTCAATAAAACAAAATGTGATTAAGTTGTTGTGTTAGTACTTGTGTTTTCTAGGTTTAAAACAAGCTACTTTGACCAAGTTTAATATGCCTCGGTGCAATATCTTATTGTTCAATTTGTGAGACAGTCCTGAAAATCCATTATATGGCCATATCAAGTGTTTTCATTTAAAAGTTTTTCCAAACTCCCAATAACGTTCTCACTTTTACCGGCATAAGAATTTTGTCAGAAACCTCTTCTTATTTTTGTGGTTTCTTTTTTGATACTGTGGTGCAGCAAGTTCATGGATCGGGTCATTTCGTTGGAATATGCTGCTCGAGATGATGAAAGAAGGAATGGTTACAGTCCTGAGAGAAGAGATCGTGACAGATCTCCTGAAAGAAACTATAATCGTGAAGGATCCCCGAGTCCATATCGTAGAGATAGGGGCAGCCCAGACTACGGTCATAGATCAAATACTAATTCCAGACCTGAACGAAGAGGAAATCATAATTACGATAAAGCTGACAGTCCTGAAAATGAAAGATATCGCAGGTTTATATTATTTTCAACTAGCAATTCTCTGTCATTTTTGCCTTGTGCTCACATTCTAATTTCTCAACAATGTAACATGTGAATATGCTATGTTTAGAAGCATTTTGACCTTATTATTTTCAATGCAGCCGTACCCCACCATCTCGACAAAGGTCTCGTTCTTGAGGTACAGCAGAAGGTTCGACAGCCTGTCCTTTTCTATCTGTCGACTAGTCACCACACGTAGCTGGGCTACTCTGTTAATGTGCATATTGTATCAATGGCTATTTTTTTTTTTTTTTAAGACAATGATTTTAATATTG